GTCAGTGCGCCCCAGGGTGGCTGTGGCTACAATGTAGCTGCCATCACCAGTGTGTGAATGTGTGGATGACTGGATGTGTAAAGTGCTTTGGGGTCCTTAGGGACTAATAAAGTGCTATACAAATACAGGCCATTTACCATAATTAATGTCCATCACACAAAAAATTTTTGGTGATTTTAAAATATATATGAATCTAGCCTTCATCATCTTATCACAGGGATAGTTTCCCAACAACTTGATGTTAAGTGTTTCCATCTTTAGAAACTTACTGCAAAAACTCATAACAATGCTGCATGTAAATGGTAAATGGCCCGCATTTGTATAGCACTTTTCTAGTCCTTAAGGACCCCAAAGCGCCTTACACTACATTCAGTCATTCACGCATTCACACACACATTAACACACTGGCGATGGCAAGCTACATTGTAGCCACAGCTGCCCTGGGGCGCACTGACAGACTGCTGACATGTCAGCAATGTAAAAGATGAGCAGGAAACTGAAAAGTTTGCTTTTGTAAGTCAACAACATTCTGATAAAATGAGTCATGAACAGATATCTCTAAAACAATGTAGCTTATGATTTTTGTTTCTGTCATTTAATGAATGCAAAACGTTTTATATCTAAAAAAAGAAAAACAGCAATATGGAACTACATCTAAGCACAAAACATAAATAACTTCAGTGTGGCACCATCTACATTATGTAAACCAGCGATTCCTGTGATGATCTATGGTCTTTATAATGTGTGTTTCCTGTTATTTTGAGTTTTCAGTGCGTTTTCACTTTCTCATATTCTTAATTCTTTATATTTGCTAGGTTGAGTTTTAGTTTTGTTTGTTTTTTATTAAATTTTTCTTTTCTTGATTGTTCCAAGTATATTATTGGTATTATTTCTTGCATTATTTCTTCCCCGTGGATTATTGTTGCAGCCAGAAAGTGATCCTACTTGTGTGGTTTAGCAGCCAGATGTGCAGTGCAGATGTAGCTAAGAATCCGCGGCAGACAGCTGAAATATACCTTCTGCTGGTCATCTCCCTTGCGTAATGAAACTATTGCAGATGCTGCCTAATTTGGTCCTGATGATCAAGGGTGAACAGTGCATGGTGGGGTTGGGCAGGTAAACTGATTGGTTCTTATATAGCACTTTTCTACTCTGAGCACTCAAAGCGCTTTTTAAACAACTTGCTTCATTCACCCATTTTCAATTCAGTTTAATTCAATGTCATTTATACAGTGCCAAACAACAGTTGCCTCAAGGCACTATTCATTTACCCCCATTAAAACAAGCACGTGACCGTTCCAGATGTGCCAAGCCCATGTGAAAAGAAGAAATGACCTCAATGGAGGGGTTCAGCTGGATAGCAAACTGTAATGATTCAAATACAGGGGGCTGTGAGGAGATGATGTAGTTAGTCCTTTACCAGTCTCTCGCAGCGCATCGTTATGGGAATTAGTGTAACAGGACAGTGGTCATTTAAAAAAAAGTGACAGTGAATTTTGTGTCACTGGAATGATAGTGACAGACCAGCAAGGTGTTACAGATGTCCATAACACATTTGCCCATGGGTCAGCACTAGGGCTGCCACGATTAGTCGACTAGTCACGATTACGTCGACTATCAAAATCGTCAACGACTGATTTAATAGTCGACGCGTCGTTTGAAGCTTTGTAAGATCCCAAAAGACGCAGGAATAAGTAGTAGGATTTAAGAGTGTAATAACGGACTGAAACAGAAGATGGCAGCACTGCATGTACAAGGATGCCAGCTGCCGTTAAACTCCGAAGAAGAAGAAGAAGCTGTGTCCCAGAATTCATAGCGCAGCCCAGCTCAGTTTCCAACAATGGCGGCAGCTAGTTAGTTTTAATATTACTCTTATTATTCTTTCTGGGTCACAAAATAAACGTTTAACATATTTTCAGGCGAGAATGTAGCTGTGTAAACCTCAAATATCTGCTCAGTTTATCAAGACACCACATATTTTCAAAAGCGCTCCAATGTTTTCGGAGACGTCTGTTACCCACTAGCTCGATAGCTAGCCGGGGGCTAGGCTCACTAGAGCCGTGAGAACACCGGACTCGCCGCAAATCGTTTTCAAACCCACCGCCGTCTTTCGTTACTCAGGTTAAACATGATATATAAGTCACTTAGATAACTTAAAAATGTTATTGTTTGGCTTTTTTTTGTATTTTATTTGTTCCTGAGTAAATCGGTTTGGCTGAGATTAAAGTTATAGTTTTTACACAGCTGAATAAACGTCAAGCAGACAGCTGATTATCAGAAGTGTGAGATTCTGGAGAATTTACTCCGGTGTCCTGTTATATTTTAGATAGCAAGGAGTTTATTAAACTTCACCAAAACAATCTACAAATTTCATTAAAATTTAATAAACTATCATCGTCTTTATTTTTAGTTAGCACATACCTGAAACACTTAAAGCTGTAAGCTAATGATAGTTATATAAGAGCAGATGCTGCTGGTGCAATAAGCTGTATGTTTTACGTCCAATGGATGATGATCTGATTAGTCGACTATCAAAATAATCGTTTGTGGCAGCCCTAGTCAGCACTCTCACTCTCAGTGCTCGTCTTGGAATGCCTGGTGCATTCACTGTCTTCGGGATTTACAGATATTAGCAACGCTGAGATTCAGTTCTTTTTGATCAGGGTGAAGACTGGCTTTTGGTGTAGTGGTGGTATTATATGTTGCAAATTTACAGAAAATGTTATTGAATTAATTTAGACAGTGTAGGTTGTTGTCACAAAGTGGAGGAGCAGCCCTATAATCTGTTATCTTTGAATCCTCTGCCATATAGTGTTACCAGCGTCACAGAAGAAATGTAGAATCTTTCCAGTATGGCTGCTTTGTTGTTCTTATAGCACGCAGGGTGGTCTGTGGCTCAGCTGTGGAGAGGGTTGGTGCAGTGGGTACAGAGGACAGTTCCAGGACAGGCTGGCCAACACAGCTGGGGATCATCATCAGATCACGCCTACACTATCTGAGCAGCACACCAGGAACATAACATAACACTAATGTGTGTTACAGTGGCGCCCAACTACCCAGGACAAGATATCGGACCCACGAACCATGCAGCCGGTGCGGTGGCAGAGCTGGCTGCCATGGAGCGGGAGCAGACAACAGTGCACCGACAGCAACTTGGAAGCCCCGGGACCAGGCCAAGTACCAGACAAATGTCCTGGAAAATCTGGTTGCTCAATGCAGTTCTTCTCGGTCACACAGCGAATGGTAAACCTCCATAGTTTCGTGGTGGTAAAGAAAGGTGGGTCTATTAGGTTCTGTGTTGACTACCGCAAGATGATTGAGGTCACAGCATATCGCTTATTCCACGCCATGGGTCAATGAACTCCTGGACCGGTTTGGTACTGCTCATTTTTTCATGACACTGGATTTGACTAAGTGCTACTGGCATATTCCCTTGTCTCCAGAGTTTCCACTCTGTACGGATTTTACCAATTTCACACACTTTTATTTGGCTTTTTCAAAAAGGGTGTTGATTACATAAGCCACAAACTCTCAGAGTGGGAAATCCCCGGCCTGAGTTGGGAGGTGGGTATATGGTGGGGTGTGGCTAAGCTCCAAGGAAGGTGGTGCAGTGAATTCAGAGGGTCCTGGCACTAAGGCAGCCAAGGTAAAGCACCTCCATTTAGGGCTGGGCTATATCATACCGTTCACGGTAATACCGATGTAATTTTGGGCAACGATAGGAAAATGAAATATCGCGATAGAATATGGGTAAAACGCACAGTGCCTTTGTTTTCATACACACATGGCGGCGACGCAGAATGAGAAGAGCGAAAGTGGATCGTTAAATGAAACGGATGAACCAGAACTGGTTTGTAAAAATGCTGCAACTTCAGTGGTGGAACTGGTTTAGCTTTCGTCCGTCAGATACACAACAAAGCACTATTTTTGGTAGCGCATGCTAGCGGGCCGTCGTTATTACCGTGTTGTTTGGAAAATACGGCACACTTAAAATCAATCCTTTGATTTTTCTGAAAGTCGACAGAGCCCCTTATAATCCCGTGTGCCTTATGTATGAACTCTGGTTGTGTTTACTGACCTCGAAACGATTTTATGTACACGGCGCTCGAAAATCTGTCAGATGTTTCAGTACGACTTTGCTAATCTGCGAAGCCGCACCGCTTAATAGATTGTCGGAGCATTACGGCTGTCGTAGGCGGAGCCTCGCGGAGTGATACGTACTGTGCTTCAACATAATATTACCATATTGTGTGTGTATAAGCTCTTTTTAAGTGTTGTGGATATTATACATGGTTATGCTGAGGATATGTCGGCCAGTTTCCACTGGAAATGCCTTTTGGTTAAACTGTCAGCAACGAATTTGCATTTGCACTATTACATTTTTATATAACTTTAATGCACATAAACAGCTGCTTAAGTGGAAATACATTGTTTGGGTTTTTTTGCACTAATAAAGTTGTGGAGTTGTAAAGTGTTTTGTCTAGTGTCAATTATATCGTCAGTTATATCTTTATCGCAAATTTTCAAATGTATATCGTGATAAATATTTTTGGTCATATCACCCTGCTCTACCTCCATTTATTATAAAGTCCATTGGTGTGGTCCCAGACTGAATGTTGTTGGATGTCTAAACGAGTCTGTCTGTCATATGGAGTCTTGGCCCATTTTAAACATTCATACATTCTTCAATGCTTGACCGCAGCCAATATTTAAGATATGGATGTCGCTGCATCAGCATATTGGGATGCTGGGTGACCAGACTGCTGAACTGGTTTGGAAGTCGCACCAAAGCTTATCAGTGGATAAAGACAGGGTAATCATGAACAACAAGACCAACTAAACCTTGTGACTGTCACTGATTGGAAGCATCTAGTGTGCCTTACACAAAAACACACATGGATAGTTCTTAGTAGGTTAAGATAACATTACTTGAACTAAAACACAGTTTATTTTGGTCATCTTTACAGCAGTTTCATGAAAGGCACAAACCTTAAAACGTGGGAAAAAGCAAAAATGTTTTATGCATTGTAAAATAAAATAAAATAAAATGTTTTATGCATTGTAAAATAAAACTAAACTGATAATTAACATTTCACCAAAACATAATGCCAAATACCATTTTTTTAATACAGCTTTTTTTTAATACTCACCAATGTACTGTGGAGTACCACTTGTGCTCTTGTACTCCTCTCCCGGATGAAACAAGTGAGCCAGGCCAAAGTCTATGAGTTTGATGTTGGGAGGTTTTGACACTTTGTCTGACAGCATGATATTTTCTGGCTGAATGTGGAGAAAATTGTCACGTTGGGAACCATGTCTTTGAAAATGTTCTGTTCCACAATATAAAAGATAGATGTAACTGAGTATACTTACCTTGAGGTCAAAGTGGGCAATGTTTTTGCAGTGTATGAATTTCAGACCCTTCAGTATCTGCTTCATGAATTCAATGGCCTCAGTTTCCAACAGGGTCTCTTTCTCAGCAATGAAGTCAAACAGCTCCCCTCCACTGACACTAAGCAGGAAGTGTTTTAATGAGACACTTGTTAAACATTTCATTTTTTCCTGTACAGAACAGGACAGGGTTTCATACTATGGTTTGTTTCCCATCTGTTATCTGTTATGGTGGATAACAGATGGGAAACAGAGGGGGGGATTTGCATTAACAGAAAACAGGTTTAAATTTGTAGGTCGAACAGTGAAGAGTTTACGCTTTATGGAGATATTTGTCAACTCACAGCTCCAGAATGAGCACCACTTCAGCGCGACTTTCAAAAACATCTTTAAGAGCCACAATGTTTGGATGTTGGACAGCCTGGAGGATCTCCACCTCTCGCTCCACGCTGCTCCTGTCCAGGCCAAGACGGCTGCATGCAACCTTCCGAATCTTCAGGAATTTGCCTGCCCAAAAGTTCCCAGAGGTCCGCTCCCGAACCTGGCGAACCTGGCCAAAATGCCCACTGTACAGGGGAAGGACAGAATTCACAAAAAACACCAAGCCTGGCATGCATCAAAAATCCTGTGTCCTGTGTTTTCTTTGCTGAAGTAAAAACAAATAGTGGTTTCTGTTATGACGCTGAGCCACGATATATTTAGCCGAGATGCAGAGTATTTGCACATGTTTTGCATATTCATGCTTTGAGCAGGAGAGGTTGGTACACCCTCCTCCTCGTCACAGTGTTGGGCTTAGAGTCAAGCCCCGGAGTTTCTGCTAGTTTCTGTCCACCTTCACTATCTATGGTGCTAACAACAAGGAGTTAGCTGGTTTACTAACTTCAGCAGAAAAGGAAAACAGTGTTAGCTAGTGTGGTAAACCGTACTAGCTAAACCGCCTTAGTGGAGAGTACGACGCCCAATCTATAGTGCAGACTTGGTTTCAGCAGAGACGAGCAAAAGGTATCAAGCACCCAGCGACAGGAAGTTTGCTAAACACTCCTGTCTATGGACAGGTAAGATAGCTAGCTAGCCTAATATAGGTTGAGATATGCGCCAAAGCTTGAAGAGGTGTTTCAATAATGGCTATGTAATAGCACAAGCTACTGAAGGGTGGGAGTTTCTGCCTGACGTAGTTGTTGCAATCACCAGCCAATCAGGAGTGGTGGAATGAGATAAATGATTCTGAGTTGAATTGCATCCCATAGTGCGATATTGCCGTGATTGCTACTATGGAAACAGGGAATTTTACTTTCACACGCATCACCTCGTTAATGTGGTTTCAGACCAACCATACGTGGTACAAAGCTGCAGGTTATTGTAGGCAGGCATTAAAAAAAGCAGAGGACACAGCTCTTGTTACAGTATACTAGGCATGACTGGGAGACTGATGTCTCTGAGAGTTTTTATTCCTATTGTGGTTAATAATTTATAGTGGAATTGCAGTATAATTGCTCAAAATGGGAAGTTTGTTAAGCACAAGCACAGAGGTTTCTGTGGTCATTTTGCAATAGTCTGGCATAGGTTGCATAAAATGCATGCAAATCGTTCACTTTGTATGACTGTGAGTTAACATAAGATTATCGTTTCTTCTTTGTTTTACCACATTACTCAGAGAGCTTTTTGGGGTATCAGCACCATCAAATTAAGGCTGAAATCCTGCTTATTTCAAATCAAATATGCTGGTATTCAAAAGAAACAGAAATCTGTACATGTCCTCACCATACATCACTGTATTGCGGAACACCTATTGAAACACACTAGAGCAGCGGTCCCCAACCACCGGGCCTCGGACCGGTACCGGTCCGTGAGTCATTTGGTACCGGGCCGCGAGAGTTGAGGCTCAGGAGTGAAATGTATGGTTTTCAGGGTTTTTATCGGTTTTCAGTGTTATTTTGTTAACGTTTTGATCGTTAACTCGGTTTTCCTGGGTCTTTTCACGTGTGTTATGAATAAATCTTCTTTTTTTTGGTACCGGTACTTGTTGAATTTATCCGCGACACCTTAAAGGCCGGTCCATGAAAATATTGTCGGGCATAAACCGGTCCGTGGCGCAAAAAAGGTTGGGGACCCCTGCACTAGAGCATAAAACAGTTGCATCCATACCTTCCCAGAACTTCCCCAATCTCATAGAAGTCTTCCACATTCTCAGGTTTGAAGACAGCCATGTTCCTTTGGTTCACACTGGTCACCTTGGTTATAGGTTTGCCTACTGCCAACTACTTAATATGGAGCTTCAAGTGGTTCATGATCCTCCAAACTCTTCAAAGCTGGACCTGAGTTTGAGTAAGAGAAAATATTACAGAAAATTATGTTCTTGTACTGTGACAACTACACAAACACAGTGCATACATCTGATACATACAACCGACATTTTGCTAGCAAGAAAAAAAAAAATCAGACGTAATAATTTCTCCAGGGTTCTTCAATATGTGTTTATGCTGAACTTTTCCCAGTCATCTAGTTCAAGATGAATACTTTATCTACTCATAAATAAAACTGTAACGCAGCGGTGTTCCAACAGACAAGCAGGCTGAGCAGCGACTGCCCGGTCAAATCAAGAAATCAGAAACAATTAATGTGAAAGATCTTCTGAAACAGCGTTCTGCCATCAAACTTCCACCCATCCTTTACATTTAGCTTTTACTACTGGAAGCTTTACTTGTCTTGGATCCTACTGAAAACTGTGTGCTTCTATTTCATGAGCATATCTGTGTCCCGTTAACGATGCCTGAAGCTTGACAAGCTGAGAGACCAGATAAACATCTGGTCTTTGATGGGAGACCAATGGGAGATTAGCATGCAAGGTATGCTGCCACTGGCTCTGCATTCAAAGTTCTGAGATTCCCAGTTTGTGTGGAAACAGAATCAGCATTAGCCAGTAGATGAGCTTCTGGAATTTATCATCGTAACAGATCATTACGAGCAAGCATTTCCTCTTACAAACCAACCCGACAAACGTGTAGACAAACTGGAGTGCAGTGTGAAAAGTTTTAATGACTTCCTTAGGCAAGTGGAACAGGCACAGGCTCAACCAGCACATTAAGATTAGTATATCTGAGAAATCACTAGTAAGTTAAACTAGCTGTTTGGTCAAGACGCCTTCATTTTTCATACATATTTCCTAGAGATGGACCGATCCGCAGTGTTGGGGAGTAAC